TTCATTCGAGCCCCGCTGCTGCGGAGCCATCTACTCCGCAACCAAATCGTCTGGGGAGCTATTCGGCCCCCAAACTACTGGTTTGCCAGCCGCTGCTGCGGGCGCCGAGGGCCCGGTGCTGGACGCCGCGGCCCCGCTGATGCGGGGCCCCTGAGAAGGCGTCGGCCTCCCCTTCTCTCTGGCGGCGTCGAACTTGACCTAGCGCTCCACACCGAGGTCCTGGTACCAGCGAAAAGTTCCTGACCCGTCGCTCCCGCCCAAACCCGCGGCTGGTGGCCTCGCCGTGTCCGCGCGGGGGGCGAGGGGCAGAGCTTCGACCTTCCTGTCGCCCCAGTGCGGGTGTAAGCGGACGCCTGTCCCGTCGTCGCGGTGCAACACGAAATCCCACATCGGCAGCTTCACTTTCACCCGCTGCCCCGCGAACTGTCGCGCGCGCACAATACTCCGGCGCATGTGGTCGTAGCTGTTTGGCCGGGCTTCGAGGGGGCAGCCGATCAGGGCCCTGCTGCTGCGGGGCCCCCCCACGACCTCCCTGATATCTTCCTCCCTGAGCGTCGCCGCCATCTCTTGCCACCGCCAAGGGACTTCCTCGTCGCTTTTGAAACCAGAGCTCGTTCTCGCACCGTGGTCGCAAACAGCGACCATGGTGGGCTCCGCATTGTCAAACCACTTGGCTTCTGACTCGAACGGGGCAGTTGGGTCTTCATTCAGATGGCGCCACCATTTCAACGCTTGGTTGTGTTGCTTAAACGAAGTGCCGAGCCTCTCTTCATAACTCAAAAAATAATTAACATCAAACTTCTCAAAATCCTGGGGCCCGCGCGCCGCCGCCGCTGCGGTGGCGCGGGGCTCCTGCGCCGCAGGCGCGGCTCGGGATCCCGACCCCTCTCCTGAAACTGTGTTCCCAGGTTCTGGTGAGTTTCGGAGGGCAGCCCTCACGAAATTATCGAATTCGGGCATGCCGAGACCAGGGGCGCGGGGGCTCACAACGCTAAGCGCGGCGAAGCGAGACGGCCGTTGAGGCGAGACCGCCGCCGCTGCTGCGGCGGCAGGGCCATCGCGCCATTTGGCGTCCTCCGTTGGCGTGTTCCCGTCTTGTCGCCAGTCTCTCCAACCCCACGCTGACCAATCATGGCCGTCCTCCCAGCCACGCCAGCCGCTGCTGCGGCTATCCCACCATCCTCCCGCGCCACCCCATGTGTATCCGCCTGCATCGCCCATTGCAAGACGATGGCGCAGGCGCGCGTTAGGCCGCGACGGGCCCGGCTGCACCGTTGCTCGCGGGCGATCCCACGGGCGCGGGATGGTTTGAGCATAGCGGCGACGGACGACGCGATGTGATTGGACGGCGGAGAACTTGAAAGGAAGGGGGGTTGGAAACGGAAGAACGAAGTGGACGAAGAGCGGGAATCGAACCAGAGGGGGCAGAAAAAAGAGCGGAAGAGAATGAGGACATGCAGACGAAGGAGAGTGACGAGGTAGATGGCGGGCCAGAACGGCAACGGAGGATAATGTGGTGGAAATTGTGAAAAGGACGCATGGAAAAACACGACGAGGATCACAGACGCAAAGATGATGAGCGCAGTGGTAGCATGACATATCCGAAATCAAGAAGCAGGATGAGGAGGAACGGGATGACGAGCAACTCTGTCGCAGAGAGCCTCCGAACGCACCCCCTCTGTCACAGAGGGCCTCCAAACGCACCCCCTCTGTCACAGAGGGCCTCCGAAAAAAACACCCCCTCTGTCACAGAGGGGGGAAATGATCACTTTAATGCGGCTTCTGGATTACCCTCTTCGGGCTCTCTCGGGGCGGCTCTCGGAGCTCTCTTGGGCTAGCTTTCGTGCCTCGTGGGGCCTTTCTGGGTGACTCTATGGGTCTGGGGCTTGTTGGGGGCATTCTGGGGGATCCTGGAGGTTTCTCGGGGGCCTCTCTGGGCCGCCCTGGGACCCATTCTGAGCGGTCCTGGGGCGCTTGGGCCGTCTTGGGCGCCTCCTGGCGCAGCCTTGCGGCTCTCTGGGGCCGTCTTGAGGCTCCCTTTTGGGGCCTCTTTGGGGCCCCTCTTGGGCCTGTCCTGGGGCCCTCTCGAGCCGTTTTGGGCGCCTCCTGGCGCAGTCTCGAGGCTCGCTGGGGCCGTCTTGGGGCGCTCGTTGGGGGCCTCTTCGGCCGTCTCTGGGCGGTCTCGGAGCTTCTTCGGCCGTCCGGGAGCGTGGAAGCTCGGAAGCGCGAAAAGGCCACACCCTTCGGGGGAAAAAAAAAAAACACTTAAACTCAGCGATGCTTATGTTTCTCAGCTCGACTGGGCGACGAATCACTGGAGAAGGTCCGAGATCTGCGTGCAGAACGCAACGCTGATGGGTCCAAGGTAGCGGCGATGGTTCTAACCACACAAGCTCGCTCCTGACCGCTACTGCTGCGTTGCGGAGCATACACGTGGCCCGGCAAAGAACTACGTGAAAACGTCCACCGTCTGCCAAAAAAATGCTGGCTCTAGAGTGCTCCAAGCTTCACTTGGGGCACTCGTGAGCAGAGCGACGGCGCCTCATAATTCGGTTGGTCTGCGCGAGGGCCTCCCGCGCGACCTCCGGAAGCTTGTGCTCATGCGAGCGCTTGTGCTTCGCCCTTCACCACCACCTCCGCCCCCACCCTCCCCACCCCCCGCCACCAGCCCAGACCTGCCCCGCCCGAATCGTCGTAGACGTCGGTCACTGACAACTGGTTGGTATCTTTGCCCGTTCCAGTCGCAAGGACACGCATAGGTAGTGCAATGATGTCTGTATTATCGTCCAGTGGGAGATCATGGGAGGCGCATCGAAAATCATACCAAAAGAGCATGAGTTTGTTCTGGTGCTGATCTGTGGCTTGGATTGCACCAGGCCATTTTGGAGTCCAATTTTGCCGTCCTGGGCGCCTCGTGGACCGTCTTGGAACTCTCTTGGGGGCCACCTAGGCCGTCTTGGGAGCCTCTTCGGACGTGTTGGACGCGGTGAAAACCCAACAGGCGACCATGCGAAAAGTATGCGTTTCCCCATAGGAATGGGACCATTTTTGCTTCTTGGACCTCTCTTGGGGTGCCTCTCGGAACGTCTTGGGGTGCTTTTGGAAGCCTTTTGGCGCCTCTTGGCGGCGTTTTGGCGCCTCCTGGAGCCTCTTGGGCCGGAAGCTCGGAATTCGAGGTTGGCTTTCTCCGTCTGGGACCCCTCTCGAACTCGTCTTGGGGCTCTCTTGGGCCGTCTTGGGGCCGTCCTGGGCCACTCGTGCGCAGCCTTGGAGCGCTCCCGGAGGCCTCGTAGACCGTCTTGGGCGCCTCTTGGGCCGTCTTGGACGCGGTGAAAGCCCAAGAGGCGAACATGCGAAAAATATACGTTTTCCCATAGGAATGGGACCATGTTTGCTTCTTGGACCTCTCTTGGGGTGCCTCTCGGAACGTCTTGGGGTGCTTTTGGAAGCCTTTTGGCGCCTCTTGGCGGCACTTTGGCGCCTCCTGGAGCCTCTTGGGGCCGGAAGCTCGGAATTCGAGGTTGGCTTTCTCCGTCTGGGACCCCTCTCGAGCTCGTCTTGGGGCTCTCTTGGGCCGTCTTGGGGCCGTCCTGGGCCACTCGTGCGCAGCCTTGGAGCGCTCCCGGGGGCCTCGCAGACCGTCTTGGGCGCCTCTTGGGCCGTCTTGGACGCGGTGAAAGCCCAAGAGGCGAACATGCGAAACATACACGTTTTCCCATAGGAACGGCACGATTTTTGCTTCTTGGGCCTGGCTCTTGGGTTGCCTCTCGGAGCGTCTTGGAGGCTTCTGGGACCTTCTTGGTGTCATGACAAGCGTCTTGGAAGGCATCTGGATCGGAGCGCGTTCCGAAGCCGCCTGCGAACGATCTTGGACGGCGTCCGGCGGTCCGACGAGCCTCCGGGCCCCCCGGGGCCCACATTTGCGGTCGGGGTCCCGGCCCCGGGCCCCCGGACCCGGTGCGCCGTTATATGTATATGCACCTCGCTGTTAGGTTGCTTTGCCGGGATAGTTTTTTTTTTTCTTCTTCTTCCAGGCCCGCGCGCGCCCAGGCTCCCGCCGCGGCCGCGGGCGGCCGCTTCCGCGCCCGCGGCCGCGAGCGCCCTCGCGCACGCGCTCGCCGGCGGCTCACGCGGCAGCCCCGCCGTGCCGCGGCGGCATGGCCACCGCGAACAGGGCGCTCACCGGCCGGTGGTCGGCGGTGTGGCGCAGCGCGGGGTGCGAGCCATAGTGCCGCTGCTCGACGCAGTCGCCGCGAAAGAAAACGCGTCGGCCCAGGCGGGCACGCGGATCTCGTCGAACTCGTCTGTGCCGACCTTGTACTTGTAGGTGGGCGCGAAGTCGATGGCGCCCTCCTTGAACGTTGACAGCACAGGCTCCGCTGTGGCCCCTTTCTGCGAGGGGTCGAAGGCCCGGAGCGCCATCGCGGCTTCCGGGTCCAGCCCAGGTGCCCCCACTGGCAGGTCCTTCTGCGTCAGGCTCAGCCTGAAGAAGTTGAAGTCTCCGAGAAGGAACGCCGCGCTGGCGTCCCCGCCCTCCGGTCCGGCCTCCGTCGGCCGCTCCGCCAGCCCGCGCGGGGCGTCCCGTCGGAAGCCCAGCTTCGGGCGTCGGCGTTCGCCCAGCATGTTGGTGCGCCGGAAGACCTCCCACAGGACCTGCTCCAGGGAAGACCGCCGCTCCAGATCCCGCTGCTGTCCAGAAGGCAGGTGCATGTTCACGAAGCACATGGGGCGGCCCGCGACTGCAAACCTGATCGCCGCGGCCCCCTTCTTGCCGACCGTCCCCTCGCCGTGCCCCTTCACGCGGTCCGCGTCGACATGACTCACATGCGAAGCAATGGACTCCTTCACGAAGCAGACCAAATATAATCCGATCATGCCGACGCTTGGCCTTGACGTACTTGCCGTGCTTCTGGAGGTAACTGGTGAACTTGGCATCAATGAGATCCTCTCGCTTGTAGTCGCCGCCCATCTTTAGCACGCAGTTTGCCGGGCTCAGGCCGATGACCTCCTGGAAGCCGAGCGCCAGCACGTCGGGGGGGCCGCGCGCGCCCCCGGCCAGGAACCACTCGTCCAGGTCGTCGTCGTCGGAAATCGCGTTCGCGAACACGTTCCAGCAGCCAACCATGATAGTCACACTGTCGGGCGGCTCACCAGCGCTCATGCCTGCGCAGGCGGCCAGCCCGCCGAAGTCGCCTGGGCGCTCCTGGTCCTGCGCCTCCTCCACCTTGGTCCTGAGACTCCTGGCCGCTGCGCCACCAACGGATTTGGCAACCGTGCCGAGAGACTTCGCGAACTCCTTCATGCCAGCCGGGGCGCCCTCGGCCACGTCCTCCGAGTGCCGGCCCCCCCGCCGCAAAGCCTGAACTCCCCGCGCCGCCCGCGCGGGCCGCGGCGCGGCGGACCGCGGCCAGCAGCGCCACAAGGTGCACCGCGGGTTGTCGATCTCGACCTTCCACCCGTCGGTCTCCCCCGGGGGCGAGCACTCCCGGATCACGCGCCTCACGCGATCGGCCTGGTCCAGCAGCTCCTCCCCCTCGTCCTCGGGGAGTGCCGCTGGGGACTCCTCGAGCAAGACGGGCAGCTGGCACTGACAGGTCGCCTCCTTCATGGCGGCGGCCTGCCTGTCCGTCTGCAGCTTGCTGACGCTCAGAACGTCGACGCTGGCGCCATCGTTGGGCCCTGCCGCCGGGGGCGCCCGCGACGGCCGCCGGCGGGGGCCCCCGGGGGGGCGCGACGGGAAGCTCTCCGTCGCGATCTCCCAGAAGCTGCCGTCCGGCGGGAGCGGGGGAGAGCCACCGTGGGGCGCGGCGGTGCCGGAGGTGCCGCCTGCCGGCTCGCCTGGCCGCCTCCGGGCGGAGCGCGCGCCCCTGCAGAGGCACGGCATCCCCTCCCGCGGCGGCGAAGCGGCCGCGCGCGGAGGGGCAAGGGCGGCGGGGGGCTTGAGCCAAAATGGCTACGGAACGCGGGTGGGTATACTTTTTTTCACCTAGCAGCGAAGACTGATAGGTTTCTAATAGGGTCAAAAGAAAGCATCATGACTCCCCAGAACCTCTGCACATTCGCAATGCGAGCCCGCGAGGACCCCTCGAAGGGACCGCAGGATACCGCGAGAAGCCAGCCGATCCAAAGCTTCAAGGAACAAGATGCATGGCGCGAAGCGCCTATGCAGCCTTGTATGTATATATATATATATATATATATGTATATATATATATATAACCGAGGGCAGAAACACCCGGGGAACAAGAGATCCGAGGGCTCAAAGACCCGAGGGTGGAAGAAACCCCCTCGAGGACCTGTCAGACACCCCTCGGGCTTCTTTCGTGTACACACACCCTCGCAGGGCTGCCGTGCCCTCGGAGAGCGGAAGCCCCCGGACCTCCCGGCGCCGTCACACCGCCCCCTCCGCCCTCAGGGCACGGCGGGGCTCCCTGGGCTGCCAGGCACGGCGGGCCTCCCGGGGGGGGGCACGCCGCGGGGCGCGGGGCCATCGGGGACACCGCGGCAGGAAGCAGCGCTGCACCAAGAGCCGGGGGGCCACCTCGAGCACACCCACGCCGCACCCCCCCCCCTGGCCTTGATGGTCCCGGAGATGAGCGGCCAGAAAGGCTCTGAACCCAGGGTCTCGATCGCAGTGCGTTCCGAGATGAAGGCCAGGGGGGGGGATGGGGGGGGAATCTGGTCCTTTGTCGTCGGAGCGCTGTGGATGCAAAGCTTTTCCTTCAACCGCATGACTGGCCCACGGACTCGACTCGGAGAGGAACATCAAAAGGTAAGGGTCAAGCATTTTCACGACATCTGAATGGGCGACGGGCAGTTGCAGTGCTGAAAATATCGATGGTCATGTACCGTGCCAGGGCCTGTGCCGTGCTGAATTGAAACGTATCATGCCGCGTTGGGCTGGGCTGCCCTCTATTGCGTTATGGATCTAGATGTCCTTGGCATCCGAGTCCCCACCGAACCGATACGGACCATCCGAGTGGACCTTATTCTCGAGCTGCCTGAAAACATAGCTCGCCCAGGGCTGGTCGCAATCGAAGTGCGTGGGGCGCTAAGCCGACTCGAACTCGAGGTTCAATCTACTTTCGTAACGGCACGAAGGGGGCGAATCCGAACCGATACGAAACGCACCGACAATCGACGGACCGAGACGCGGCGAACCGAGACGCGACGAATTGACACAGGACGAACCAACACATGGCGAACCCTGACGAGGGGCAAGCATGTCCGAATCGAATCGAAGAACGACGAACCAAAACTGGCAGAAGCCGAATCCGTTTCGGCTCACCCCACTGAAACCACAGGACAGGGGAAGCGCCAAAGGACTAGTCAGGGAACGCATCAGAGACGAGCCAGGGGACGTGCCAAGGGACGCGCCACTGATCGCACCATATCGCACCATCGGGCGCGCCAAAGAGACGCGCCAGGGGACAGACCAGGGAGCATGCCAAGGGACGTGCCATGGGATGCGCCACGGCACGTGTGAGGGGATGCGCCGCGGAACGGGTTAGGGAAAGCGCCAGAGGACGAGCCAGGGAACGCGTCAGAGACGAGCCACGGGACGTGCCATGGGACGCGCCACTGAACGCGCCAGGGTACGTGGCAGTGGGCGCGCCAGGGGGCGTGCCAAGGGAGAAGCGCCAGCGGACAGACCAGGGAACGTACCAAGGAACGTGTCGTGGGATGCGCCACGGAACGTGCCAGCGGACGCGCCGCAGACGTGCCACATCCCCCAACTCTGCAGAACCAGCGTTTCGCGTGAGATATCCTCAACACACTTTGCAAAACAAGCGTTTCGCTTGGGACATCCTGAACATTGCCATTCGCCGGCCCTGCGCGACCTCGTTATTCATGGACAAAGACATTCGCCTCCCCACCAAAAGAAAGCTCTGGGCCCCAGCCCTCTCTGGGAACATGGACCCACGAATCCGGAAAGGGATAAAGACATGTGCAGCATGGTCACGTTTTCACGATACCCAACTGGGCGACATCTCACGAAACATCCCACGAGACACCCCGCGAAACATCCCACGAGACACCTCACGAAACATTCCACGAGACACCTCACGAAACATTCCACGAGACACCCCGTGAAACATTCCACGAGACACCCCACGAACAGGCAACTACTCAACCAGACACGCCACGAAACATTCCACGGGGGTGCGACTGGGTGTGGTCGTGCTGGGGTGTGGTCGTGCTGGGGTGTGGTCGTGCTGGGGAGTGGTCGTGCTGGGGTGTGGTCGTGCTGGGGGGTGGTCGTGCTGGGGGGTGGTCGTGCTGGGGGGTGGTCGTGCTGGGGGTGGTCGTGCTGTGCTGGGGCGTGGTCGTGCTGGGGCGTGGTCGTGCTGGGGTGTGGTCGTGCTGTGGTGAGGTCGTGCTGGGGTGTGGTCGTGCTGGGGTGTGGTCGTGCTGCTGGGGTAGGTCGTGCTGGGGTGGGCTCGTGCTGGGGTGGGTCGTGCTGGGGTCTGGGGGTCGTGCTGGGGTGTGGTCGTGCTGGGGTATGGTCGTGCTAGGGTGGGGTCGTGCATTTCGCTCGAGACATCCTGCCAAAATTCCAGGAAATCGTACAAAAACAAACGAATTAGTCGAGACATCCTTGGAATTCCTGCGCGAGGGGCGCTTTTCCGTGTCGCGGTCGGCTCTGCAAAACCAGCGTGTCGCTCGAGACATCCTCAACAAATTCTGAAACCAAGCGTTTCGCTCGAGACATCCCCAACTCTGCAAAACCAGCGTCTCGCTCGAGACATCCTCAACAAATTCTGAAAAACAAGCGTTTCGCTCGAGACATCCTCAAAAATAATTTCGCCGGCCTCCTTCGACCTCGATATTTATCAAGGAAAAAGATTCGCCGGCCTCCTTCAAGTTGGGCACCGGGGACATGTTTACATAGAAAAAGAGAACCCTGGGCCCGCGCCCTTTCCGGGAAAAACCAACTCGTCGGAGATCTGGGGCAGAAGAATGGACAAGCGCGTTCCACTACTCGCAGAGCACCTACTCGCAGATGTCCTGGATCCGCCGCGGGGGATCTGCGATACAGGACATCAAGGAGCACATGCTTTTGGGGGACGTTTGCGAGTAGGCACTTCGCGAGTGGTGGAACGCGCTCGGCGAAAGGCGGCCCCGGGGAGGACCGCCTCGAGCCCCCGTGCCGCCGGCGGACACGCGAGCGCACGCCTGGCCTGGCTGCTTCTCGGCGCCCAGCGGGCGGCCGCCGTCGCCCATGAACACGGTCCGGAGCTGTCGGTGCGGCAGGAGGCCTCCTCCTCCGCCTCCTCCTCCTCCTCCGCCTCCTCCTCCTCCTCTGCCAGGAGCTGCCCGCCCAGAACCCGAGCGAGCTCCCACCGCGCCCTTGCTCAGCACGACTCCTGATGCCCACAGCGTAGGTAATGCGGGATGATGATTAATAAAAATGGGGGAGAACGATTAAAACATAATTTTCTGCTATTTCTGCACAACTTACTGACTAAAGGAGAACGATTAAGAGGGCGGCACGCGAGGGACGGGGCCGACTCGGGACAGCAGCTGCGTTCCGAATCACACACTCTCCCCACACTGCGCTCGCTGAGTTTGCAGTGGAGCTGATCTTTCACGATGTCCAGTGGGCGGGTTTTCCTCGACGGGAGGAGATGTCGACACAGACGAGGAACACAGACATCGTGGTATGTACTGGCACGGGCAAGTGGGCGGAGAGCGACGATGCGACTGCCACGCAGTGTCAACGACCGAATCACAAATGTGTGCAAATGAGATGGAGGAAATCAAGAACTACTACCAACTCATGCGGCCTGGCGATCATGTATGGCAAGCGTATGTCTGACACGTTGCAGCAGGCTTCCCTGCCGCCAGCCAGCTTGGGCATCACAGGTCGCATGGGTATGGCGCTTTTTGCAATGAGTGCATATAACTGGCGATTTGTCCTATCTACATTCCGCCCAAAGGCATGGCCGCGCCTGCACTGCGGCAAGTGACAAAACAAATGTCCCGTTAGATATCGGAAGAGATGGACAAACTTGGACACGCTTGTATTCCACTGGTGGTTGGAGACTGGAGCTATGGCTTTGGTATACAAACGGACAAGATTGGCAAGAGAGGCTGAAACAACACTGGAATCGCAGGTATCAAATATTGCCAGAGAAGTCTTCCAGGACAACTACCTCAGCATGTACGACACGTATTGGAAGATGGGCCCCACCTATTTCCAGGGCCAGCATAGCAGCAAGATTGAGCACATCGCGGGGCCAGCCAGCATGCGAGAAATAATACAACGACTCAAAGCAATGCTTCGACTGGAAAGGAGATTGCAGAGATACATGAGCACCCATTTACATGATCCTGTGCCAGTCCTAGTCGAGTTTTAAGT